GAGTTGGGAGACCACCTGGCTCAGAATCTTGAGTTTTCACATACCAGATCTGATTTTTCCTTGGTGCTCATTTATAACCTTTCCTCAAAACAAAGAGAGAACACTGTAGTCTTTTCTGCAACTGGTCTGATTTCCACATCATCAAGGGGCAATGTGTGCCTTTGTTGAGCAAATTAATGGGATTAAAACAGCTATCAAGCATGCTGCAGCAGAAGGAATTCCTCTTGCCCAGCTGCACATTTTTATCACTACTGTGAATCTTCATACTCATAATAGAAAATGAATATCATTTCATATTTTAAAACTCTAGACAGAAGCCATTAGCAATTTATTTTTCCCAAAGAACCAGCTAATTAAAATTGTAAATAAGATTGTGTTATGTTTGCATGTACTCCTGTGAGTCTCATGAAGAACCAGAACATAGATGGCTATATGACTGTTCTGTGAATATTACCACCCAACTTCACTTCCATCTGCCCACACTCCAATCAGAGAAGAAGATCACACTCAGGGGAAGGAAAATTTATGCTAAAGGCTTCCACAACAGAAGGCAGAATTTAAAAAGAGGAAGGCCCCAAAGAGTTCAGGAAAGGTGGTTTTCTGAGGCACTGTAAGAAGCAATAGAATATTTTCCTACTGCGTTTAGGTAGGTGGGTTGTTATTGTTGTTATTATTATTGATTGAAGATCAAAAGAACAGGATTTCCCAGTGGGAAATTCAAAAACACATGTTATGACAAAAAATCCAAAATCAACCAATTTTAACTTTTTTTCATTTTATTTATGTACCATATTTAGTAAGGTATCACTCCCACACTCTTGGTATGTTAATAATTGATGGCCTCTCCAGGTTCCAATTTATAGAGAAAATTTAGCAAATTTCTGATTTTTCTTCTGTGATTTAATGATATGCAATTATTTCTTTGTATTACAGACTTAATTGTATAACCACAAAATTTATATGTTGAAGCCCTAACCCCTAAGTACCACAAAAGGTGACTGCATGTGGAGACAGGGTATTTAAAGTGGTAATTAAGTTAAAATGAGCCTATTAGGGTGGGATCTAATCCAATCTGAGTAGTATCTTTATATAAAAAGGGGAAATTAAGACATACAGAGAGATACGAGGGGTGTGTGCTCCCAAGAAAAGGCCATGTGACAGCACAGTGAGAAGGTAGCCATCTGCAAGCCAAGAAGAGAGGCCTTAAGAGAAACTAAACCTGCCATCACCTTGATCTTGAGCTCTTAGATTCCAAAACTGTGAGTAAACAAATTTCTGTGGTTCAAGCCACCCAGTCTGTGACATTGTTATGGCGGCCCTAGCAAATTAATACTCTCAGTAATGTTCACCTTTGCAGGAGTTGGGTCTTTAATGTATAAACACCTGACATGAGAAAATAAAACTGAACAGGTAAGTTATTAGCTGATCATTTTCACTGACAAAATGATATACCTAGGACTTCTTTAAATTGTAAGTTCTTTGGTACTTTACAGAGTCACTTCAATTCACAGGCCATAATTACTATCAATGAATGAAAAATCAACATTAAGTCAATGCAGATTGTTAATTGAAAAATGTACATGACCACCCCCCATCTAAATTGGGCCCTTTTCTTAAACTCTGTCACAACATCCCTTACTCTTCCAACATAAGACTTATCAGTTTGTAATCATATATTTATTTGTGAGATTATATCCTTCACATCTATCTCCCCAATGGACTCTCCATGAAACATAATCATCTCTGTCTTGTTCACCACTATATGCTCAGTATTCAACACAATGTCTGATCCTTAATTACTTGTTGAATGAGTGAATAAAGAAGTGATAAGGTTCTTAGGACATTAAGTTGGGGAGGTTGATTGCCAGGTTTTAGGATTCCCCTGAATCTCTGGAAACTGTCTAAAAAATGTGTTTATGCATATATGTCTCTGAAGAGAGGATTCATAACCTTCATTTGATTTCAAAGGGATCTGTGAACTCCCTGAAACGTAAGGAACTGTTGGCCTATTTCCCTGTGGTAAAACAAGATTCAATACCAAAAGACTTACCTGCAGCCTAAAACAAAGTATGCTATATTTACATTTACATGAATGGATGTGTGGGCATATGTATATGCATGTGTATAGTTTCCAAGAACAGAAATGCTGCAGTGAATTTACAGAACAATCCACATTCCCATTTCCCCTGAGTAATTGATCATTCCTGTAGTCATTGAGCTCAAGTAATAGCCACTTGCATACATCTGTTTCTTGACAGCAACATCCACCGCTTAGGCCAGAGAAAAGGAATCTATAATTCCCTCCTTTCACCTGCTTGGGATGCTGACATCCCTTTTTGCAGGAAGTTTCTTTTAATAGCAAATCTTAAACCTCCCATGCAATAAAGGCACCAGGCCATGTTTATCAAGCACAGGAGCCCAGGTAACTTGATCCAACAACACTGAGATTTCCCTTCCCTCACCCTGAAGCCACAAGAAGATCCAGCCTAATCAGGCCAAGGGGGCCTCTGAGTGCTGTGTACATTCACAGCGAGGGAGGCTACAAATGGGCTGGGAAACACTAATTGGCTGTTGTATACTACATCTCTTCTCTTCTCTCTCCCAGTTCCAGAAGTTACTTACCTTCAGTAAATTTTCTCCCTTATTTTTGTCCTAAAAAATGGAGACTTCAACAGTAATCTGTCAGAAGAAAGGTCTTTGATGTGCTGTTAACTCTGTTATCCATACTAGCAGAGAAGAGCAGTTGTACAGATAATTCAAAACCAAAGGCTCTTTTAACTTTGCAGTCACTGTTTCTAGGGGTTTGGTGGTCATCTTACCTCCCTAATTATGGTTGTCTTTGTTTCTTATTAAAATGAGTTTGTCTGCCTTAGGGCCAGATGGTTGTGTGATGTGCAAATTCTGTCACAGAATTTGTAAAACTCACCAGGGAAAATCCACAGGGCACACAAATAATCAAACTTGACTAGATTTGAGTTCACGTTCTTAATCACCTGTGATCAATTGCTTTGCTACTCTACACTAAAGTGAGACAGAGATAAGAAATATCCACAGGAGACTAATGGGAAGAGAATGAGTCTTTACATTTAGATGAAGACACAAGACTGTGTTGTGGCCAAGACTGATAACACAATCAGTGTTAATGATTTCCTTCCTTAGTCTCACAACCTTCATCTCTGCAACCAGAGTGATCTTTCTATGCAAGTCTCATGATGTTCACCTCTACCTAACATCCTTCAGTGTGGTAGTCATTAGAGCTGTTCACAACCATCCTGTTCCCTCCTTCCCAGCATGTGATAGGACTGCACGATGTCCCCAGCCACTTCAAATTAGACGTGGTTCTGTGATTTGTGTTGGCCAATGGAATGTGAGCAAATGTGTCACTTCTAGTTGGAAGGTTTCAGGGCCAGTGTGTGTCCTTGGGTACATGCTTTGTCTGGCAAGGCTGGCAGCATCTGAGCTGGCAAATCTGAGCTGGTGGTTACACCATCAACCCAGGTCTCCCTGGGTGGCTATGATAAGCAGAGCTCCTACAAGCTAGGGATGGGTGTGTGGTAGGAGCGATAAATAAACCTCGGTTGTTTTCAACCATTGAGATTTTAAGGTTCTTAGTTAACTCAGCATATCTATTACTGCACATATCAAGCTGCACCATGATTATCTGAAATTTTCCTTCTCTAGCTAGACACTGAACAACTTGAAGCCAGAATTATTTAATTAAAAGTAATGGCAAAAGCATAATTACTTTTGTACCAACCTAAAATATTCTTTCTCCAGTGTGTGAACTCCAGTGTATAACATATTTAAAACAGCTTGGTAGAAAATGAAATTCTCTTCCTTCTTGGCCTCTATGATTTTCCTTGTTTCTGTTTTTCTAACATTTGCCCCACTCCCAACATCACCAGCTACAATGATAAGGTGTCTTTGTTTTTCAGATATATGAGGAATGGTGGAGGTATTTTTCTGGGCCAATAATTCAAGTAGGAAGAGCTGGCAGAGGAGACAGAGAGAGGCATTCTAAGGCTATAGGAGTTTGAAATATAATGGCTTCAAGGAGCAGACACAATTTGAAATAAAATCTTGGGGCAACCACTCAGGAAAACATAAATATATCCCAAAGTGTTAGGTTTATGGAGAATAAGAGTGGTCATCTGGACTGAACTCCTCCATCCTTATTATTATTATAACACCAGCATTTACTGATGACTTACTATATGCCAGGCACCATTCTTGTTTTACAGTTAACACATTAAATCCTTACAACAATCTCATATGGTAACTATTATTATTTTCATTTTATAAATAAAGAAACTGAAGCATAGAGAGGCAAAGTAAATTCTATCCAGCCATACAGTTAGCAAACATCCCTCTCTGAATTCCCCATCTGCCTGAACCGTCGCCATCACGGAGAGCTCACTACCTCCCACTGCAACCCACCCCACCTCCCGCTCTGAGCCATGTCCTGCCTCCCACTCAAACTGCCATCCCCTGAACATTTCTGCCTTCTAAAGAAACAGAGCAATTCTACTCTTTTCTCTTTAAGATAGCCCTTTAAATATTCGAACATGTCCCCTAGAGTTTCTCTTCCCCAGTTTAAACGGCCCCAGGTCACTCAGCCATTTCCAATGTGCAACAGCTTGAGGCCCCTCACCATCCCAGCTTGGTGACTCACACATGCTGGGGACCAAAAAAAGTTGGCTAAGTCAGTGAAGTGGAACTGGTACTCGCCCTTCTAGAATCGAGCTGAGCCAGTGCATTCTACAACCCCAGGTCCATTCTTTCACTGTGTAAAGCAGGATCCGGAGGAATAATCTACTGCAGGAACAGCTGGCTGGCCACATGCCCTACACTCATCCCCACTGCAACAAACAGAACACCAAAGGGTCCACATGTTCACAGTTCTTCATTCTTCCTTGGGTGGAAAGTCTGTTTCTGTCCCTCCTTCCCCTTCTCCCCATACTCCCACTCCCAGAGGCAGTGCTAACAGCCCCTCAGCTCACCATGGAGTTCATGGCAAAGTGATTGTGCTGCGTCTGAAGGTCTAGGGCATACTGGTAGCTGACTCCAATCTCCGTGTGGCTTTGGAGGAATAACTCCTTGTTGTGGCTTATCCAGTCGAACATCTAGAGGGGACAAGAAGGCACAGCGTAATCAGAATGGTCATGGGTCAAATAGTGCAAAACTTTCAGAGCTAGTGGAAGGGAAAAAAGCTCTCCTGCTGGTGCTCAGTGAGAACCAGTTATATTCTGAGTCTCAGAGTTGTCGTAGGGGTGGGCCACCGCCTAATTTCTCAGAAGAGCCCTCACTTTCAGCTTAAGAACCCACCAGGACCCAGTGTGTTGCTTTACAGAGCCTAAGGGAAAAAGAGAAAATGAGTGAGGTAATTGGCATATGGAGGGGAAGCTGTTTACCATTCCCAGCATGCTTGCTTTAGGGACAGGGGCTGAGGAGACAAGCTGGGAGGCTTAATGTATCTCCTACTGCACTAGTAGAAGGGAGAAATCCTTGAAGCAAGCAACAGGGACATCCTTACCTGCCCCTGCCCCCCTTATACACTGCCCAGCCACACACAATGTTGAATTGATTCCGAACTGAATCAACTTTTCTCATAACTCTACAGCCTCACAAATCCAGGTTTTCTGCTATAACCCACTGGGAACCAGAAGATGAGAGTTTTAAAGGTAATATAAGTACTGCCTGGTGCTAGCACAGTGGGCATTAAGCCATTTTCCTCCTCCTAGCTCCGTACCCTGTTTTCACTTAGGTATCCAGCCCTCTTCCAGGCAGCCTGCATACTTCAGTGGGAGCTGACCAGAACCACTGGCTCTTCAGGACACCAGACCTAAGCCAACCAGTGCATGACATTTCCCAACCAATGCGACTGTCTCAGATATAAGGATGTGATTCAATTTAGTACAATAAAACATGAGTGTAGTTTGCTAGAAACTTCTAGGAAAACAGAATCATAGTTCTTTAGTTATGGCTTCTCTTCCTCTAGTAGTGTTGTCTGTAGCTCTGACCTCAAATTGCTGCAGCCATTCTTCTGGCAGCCTGAGGGTGAAGCCAATGAGTAGAGAAAGGGTGGAGCCAAGACAACTGCAGGAAGCAGGCAGAGCCCTGGCTGAGCCTTGTCTGGTCTCCACTTCGTCTCTGGACTTCCTTGGACCTGAGCCAAGAAATCTTCTTTATTATTCAAGCCAGTTTAAGTTGGACTTTCTGTGATTTTCTGTCCAGAGCAGAAAATTCTACTTTTTTCTCTTTAAGGCAGCCCTTTAAATATTTGAAGTCAGCAATCACATGTCCCTTACAGTTTCTCCTCCCCAGAGGGATGTGAACTAGAAGGGAAGAGAAAATGCTTAGGAGGCTGCTACAGAAATCCCGATGAGGGTGAGGACCTGGAAACTCAACCATTTCCAGTATGCCACAGCTTGAGGCCCCTCATCATTCCAGCTCAGTGACTCACACATGCTGGGGACCAAAAAACATTGGCTAAGTCAGCGAAAGCCAGGAAAGGTGTGAAAAAATACATCTGGAAAAGAGAGCTGCACTACTTAAGCCTCACACTCCATTTGGGCTGGACTAAAGGCTGTGGCCCAGTTGCAGAGTACAGCAGGAAGGAGCTGAGCACAGAAGCAGGCTAAAAAGCAGCCACGATTGCGCCAGCTTTCCGGAGCCAGGGCTGCAGGCTTATCCAATTATGTCCCTTTAACAGAGAAGTGAATTGACTATTTCAATTACATTCAACCAATATTTATGGGACACTTGCCATGCGCCAGGCACCGCTGGAGGTCACATGAGGAAAAAATGACTAAAATATGGTTCTTGAGTATTGGTGGCTTAAAGGCTAATGTGGAAAGTTGACATGGACTCAGATACAACTTTAGTGCAATGTAGCACACAATGAGATTAAAATTACATCTAAAAAAATCTACTGATAAGTTGAATATTGGCTGTTGAGGGAGCACAGAGGAGGGCACCTCACCTATTCTTGAGGGAGTGGGATAGGGAAGAGCAGAGAAGGCTTCTCAGAGGAGGTGACATCTGAATTGAGCCTTGATTCAGGTAGTAATCAGCTAGGTGAAGGTCAGTGGGATGCATGCTCAGACAAAGCGGCAGAACTGGGGGCAGCCCGCTGTGTTGAGGACAATGAAGGCTCCTCAGCTGTGTTTCTGGATCCTGGCATCAAGGAGATGTGGCTGGGGAGGTAGGTGGGACAGGCTTCAGGAAACCTGCAGCACACATTGTCAGCTGCCAGGTGCTGGTGGAAGGTTTTAAACTGAGTAGTGAAGTGTGAAGTGAGCTTTGATGGCAGCGAGGGATGTGGACTAGAAAGGAAGGGAAATGGTTAGAAGGCTGCTACAGAAATCCTGATGAGGGTGCTGACCTGGAATCTTGGATTAGGGGAGTGGCAGTAGAGTCTGAGAAATTGGCAGATTTGAGAGCTACTCGGAGCATTATTGAGGACTTGGTTGTTTAGAGAGGAAAAGGTGGGGAAGAGGTAGAACAGTCAGGTTTCTGGCATGGCACCCTGAGTCCTGGTAATAAACAGTACCACGACAAGAGGAAGATAAAAAGCTTGGTGGGAAATACTATGTTCCATTTTAGATGTGCTGAGCTTGGGAGGCCTATGAGAGTTTCAAGGGAAAGTATCCAGTAGGCAGTTAGATTTGTGTCTGAAGGTCAGGAGAGAGACATCAGGGCTGTAACAAGTCACACCTAAGTATAAAAACATCACCTTCCAAAAGCAACCGCGCATGATTTGGAGATTATTCTCCCTTTTGAATTACACTTCCATCAACCTACACCAACGGTAAAGAAAGGAGGAAAGGACCATTCTTTACTTCTGAGTGCCAGAGGATTTATTTCAGGCTGGGGCTCCTGTAGAGGCTGGGTCGATATTTGTGCTGTGTGCACTATCCTGGGTCCTCAAGCCTCTGCCACCCTCACATTACAGGCATTTGGTCATGGCTTTTTTTTTTCTTCTTTAATTATTATTAAGGACAAGGAGGAAAAGAAGACAGGTGCCCCAGGAGTTTAGAGGACTCTCATTCTGTAATTTTTATCTTTAAAAGTCTGCCTCCCAGCCCCATTTTAAAATAATTTCTCATTTATTTTCTTATTGACAAAAGAATCAATAAGGCTAATGAAAGTCTGAAATGCCTGAAGTCCTTGGAACTTGTGATGAAAAGCACTCACTCCATACACTTTCTTGGATATCTCAGTGGCCGATAAGTGACCTTCCCTGTATTTTATGTTAAAATGATGATTTAGATATGCAAATAAGCAGCTGAGTTATGTCACCAGAATGATTAGATTGCTCAGCACCAGATCACAGGGTAGGAAAAGCTGAGCATGGGCCAATTAGGGTGGAAAGGAATATAAAAATGAGTTAAAGACAGGTGAGAGTTGAGGGTGCTGACAGAACTGTGCACTTTGCTGAATCAGCTTCTTACAGAATGAGGTCTGCACCCATGCCATCCCAACTGATTTTGCCTCCTACGTTTGGAGCATACAAGCTTCTCACTGGGTTCTGGGACATTCTGGAAAAGTTTAACTTTCACTGGAGGTGGTGCTCCAAAGAGGTGACACACATCTCAGTAAAGAGAAAAAGATCTGCTCTGGGAAGTAGATGGTCTCATGTGATGTCAGGAACCAGGGTTTCCTAAGGGATTGTGACAAGTCTTCTCTGGGCCTAAACTTGCTGCCTACTTACATATAATCCTCACCCTTGCAAGCCTGACTGTCTGTAAGGGTCATAGTCATCTCTGTTGCATTCAGTGGAGCTGGCAGCAGAGGCAGAATGTGTGTGTGCATCCATGCATGGGTGTGTATGTATATATACAGTCAAGTGAGATGAGGACTAGGCTGGTTCCAGGCCCAGCTCTGTCACTAACTCCATATGAGACTGTGGAAAAGTAATTTCATTTCTGTCATCTCCTCATTTGCAAGAGATAGTGGTTTGCAGAATGGAGGTAAGCATCCTGGTTTATAATAGGCTCAATTTGAAAACTTATGGAATGTATTTTTTCCCCACCCAAAATAAAAAATAGTTTTGTTGATTCTCCTGGATCAAAAGATATACTCATTGCTACAACTTAAATTTTTATCTTTTTGAATAAAATTATGTCAGTGAGAAAAATGACATTGTTTTATAGCCAGAGAAGGGAAGCTTCTGGGCTTGGTAGCAGGTGCCTGTAATCCCAGCTACTCAGGAGGCTAAGCCAGGAGAATTGCTTGAACCCAGAAGGTGGAGGTTACAACAAGCTAAGATCGTGTCACTGAACTGCAATCCAGGCAACAGCGTAAGACTCCGTCTCAAAAAATAAAATAAAATAAAAAGAAAGGAAGCTTCTTAGTCTCAGCCCTGACCATGGTGTGATGCTTTAGAGTTCAAAATGTCCATTCACCCTTCAACATTACATTGCATCCATAAAACAATCCCACAGGGTGCAACCATCAGGCCCACTACACAGGCAGGAAAACAGGTTCAGGGATGTAAAGTCCAAGGTGTAGATTTAATTTATTCTACCCAAGGCCACATTCACTGAGTGACCACTGAGCCAGGCTTTGGGGACACTGCCTGCCTCCTGTTCATATGGCTGTAAGACTTTCTCTGCCTGGGCTCCACAGGGCAGTTATCCCTAAAAGGTAGCTGCAAGGGTACTGTGGTACTCCAGCTGGGGTAAGGTGCTATTCCTCAATGGGAACATTCCCCTGCCAATACCTAGCCTGCTTCCCCTCCTCCACCTCCTCCTTTTTCTCCCCTTCCTCCACTGCCTGCCCCACCATGATGGAATGCCAGGTATCTGGGGACAATTGATTCAAATAGCTCTAGTTCTCTCAATAAATACTCACTGAATGAATAAATGAATACTATGAGTTGGTCATAGGTTCTTCCTTTGCTAATCTCCAAGTAAGTGGACTCTTTCTAAGCTCCCTTCCAGCTAGGACATTTAAACTAAAAATATCTCCAAAGTGCCTTCAAACTTTTTGATATGTCTTTGTTTTTTGAGAAGCTACAAATGGTGTGTTCAACAAAATGTAATATAACAAAAAATTCTACAAAGAGGAAGTTCATGTCTAAATAATAAATTGTATCTCTTTGAAATCAAAATAGTTTTGT